TTTTTTTTTTTAGTCTGCCACTTTGGTCAACTAGTTTCAAAAAGATGGGAAAGATAAGAAGGTTATTAAGTTGGAATGGTTGGCAGTTGGGATTTGCAAATTAAAAAGTTGACTAAGTAGTTGTGCACATTGGGATAGTACCATTTTATATACAGGAATAATTTAGACTAAGTACACCCAATCATGCATTGGGATACAAAGTGCACTTATATTTTAAGATAGTCCAAAATAGAAACTTAACCTACATTATGAGTAGAATTGTTGAAATCGTAAAAGAAAATGAAATTTTCTCGCTTTCCCTTGTCCCATGTGGAAAGATGGAGACACTTGAAACCATCATATAAACCCCATGTGCTACCCCCTCATAGTTAATTGGTTTTCTGATGAAACCACATGTGGACTCATGTTTGAGTCTTCAACATGGTATCAAAGCGGATATTACCCATGGACCTGTGTGAATTATAGGACGAAGTTGACCAACTAACATTTGGCCTTTGACTTACCCGTATTCGGGCTTTGACTTTGAAACTTTGACGAACCGAAAAAATCTTGGGTTTGACTTTGAACATTTACTGACCCGATAGGCGGCAATTTTTCTGGGAAAAAAAAATTGATTGCAAGACTGATAAAAAAAAACTTATAAATTACCCGTCCAAACCCATTAGGCTTGAGAGGGGCGTGTTGAAATGATAAAAGAAAGTGAAATTGCCCCATGTTCCCTCCCCCTAAATGGAAAGATGGAGATACTTGAAATCAACATATAAATCCCATGTGCTACTTCCCTCACCAATTAGTTTTAAGGTGAAACCACATGCGGACTCATATTTGAGCCTTGAAAAGATATATATATATATATATATATATATAAAGTTGTTTTTGCGGAAGTAACTTAACTTTTAATGTCTTGCCCATAAATGACGTTGTGTATCGAAAAAGGAAAGTTGAAAAGATAGTGGTCTTGTCTCTGAGCTTCAATGAATTTGAAAAACATAATATCATTAATTATACTTGTACTAAAAAATTTTAGTCAGAGCAACATTTACCTCTTTAACAAAATTAACTGGCAAAAATTCCACCCAAAGCATTGAAAAACTTAATATCACCTAAATTACTTATAACCTTTTAGTCAAAGCGAATTTCTCACATTACCATAATCAACCGGCAAAAATTTCTCACGAACTTGGGGTTGAAACTCTGTTTTGTTCATGTTTATTTTATATGAATTTTTTGTATGTTTAACAAGTGGACATGCAGTCAAGTGATTAATGACTCACGGGCGTGCAGTAATTCTAAATCGTTCACAAGCGCAGTGTAACGCATTTCCCCTTCAGTCGAAATATGTTTGCCGTTTCCTTCCAAGAAAATGTGAAAAATAAAATTACACTTTTACCCTCAATAACCTATGTTGTTTTCTCTTCCCTTTTAACCAAGCATGACATTGAAGGAATCTAAAATCTCTTAATCTACCTTTTATAATTTCAATACTAATATGGAATTAATGGGAATTCATTCAATGGATACAACCTTCTTTACTTTAACTAATGAGTATGGTTTCAACCCATATCTGGAGACCTAATCGAAAGAATGTCTCTCTTTCTTGACCGTAATTTATAGATAAAGTCTTTATAACTTCTGAAAAGAAAAATTGAGGGAGTTCAAACTTTTAGTTAAAAATTCCAAATAAAAAATTAGTGGGAAATTTTCTCCCATCTGTGGTTAAGTAACCCTTTTATATTCATAGCTTGTTTTTGAGTTTGCCAGATTGGTTAATTAATTTTAAAAAAAAATGGGGAAAATGAGGAGGTAATTAAGTTAGAATAGTTGTCATTCGGATTTTGTGAATTAAAACGTTGGCTAAGTAGTTGTGCATCTTGGGATAGTACCATTTTAAATACAAGGGTAATTTAGACAAAATACACCAAATTATGCATTGGGATATAAAGTGAACTTACATTTTAACATAGTCTAAAATAGAAAACTGGACTTACATTATGAGTAGTATTGATGAAATGATAAAATAAAATAAAATTGTCTCATGTTCCCTTGTCCCACATGGAAAGATGGAGACACTTAAAACCAACATATAAACCTTATGTGTTACTCCCCTCATAGCCAATTGGTTTTAAGGTGAAACCACATGTGGACTCATATTTGAGCCTACAAGATGGTATCAGAGCAGGATTTATCCGTGAATTGCATGACTTGTGGGGCAAGGTTGGCCAACTAATATTGGGCCTTTGGCTTACACATATTCGGGCTTTGACTATGAAACTTTGACCAACCGAAAAATCTTCGGTTTGACTTTGAACTTTGATTGGACCTACAAACAACCGTTTATTCGTGATAAGAACTGATTGCAAGACTGATAAAAAAAATTATAAATTACCCGTTCAAACCCAATGGGCTTGAGAGGGGCGGGTTTACATGATAAAAGAAAATGAAATTGGCTCATGTTTCCTTGTCCCAAATAGAAAGATAGGAACACTTGAAACCAACATTTAAACCCCATGTGATACTCCCTTCGTATTCAAAAACATGCTATGAATATAAAGGGTCATTTTTTTACGAATTGGAGAAAATTTCCGACCAAAGTTTGATATGAAACTCTAAACTAAAAGTTTGAACTACCTTCAATTTTTTCAGAAGTTATAAGGACTTAATCCATAAATTATGGTCAAGAAAGAGACACATTCATTTGATTAGTTCTTCAAATATGGGTCAAAACCACACTCATGAGTTAAAGTAAAGAAGGTTGCATGCTTTGAATGAATTCCCATTAATTGTAACTAGTATTGAGACTATGAAAGGCCGGTTGAAAGGTTTTTTATTTTTTTGGTGTCATGTGTTGTTTCAAGGGGAAGAGAAAACAACATAGTCTATTAAGATATACGGGTAAAAGTGTAATTTTATTTTTCTCATTGTCTTGGAAAAAAATGACGACACACATTTTGACCAATTCTTTCCAACGTAAAGCGACAGATATTTGAAATGAGGGTAGACTTTTGTTTTTCTTTTCTTTTTTTTTTTTGAGACCGATCGGCCTATTCAATGTTATAAATATATTGAGTTCTTTTGTAACTATCATAAGCTTTTTTACATCCTACCATCTTTAGGATAAAAATGGTGGAACCCACGGTTTAAAATTATTCATTAATTTTTGAAGATTTGATTTGGGAAATACTGATATTGCTCCATGTCAAATCTCTAATGAGTTTCAAATGTATATGTAAACTTTGGCTACCTATGATTTTGAGTCCATTGTTTGACATGGCATACTTGGGCAGTTTCAAGGTTCTCCTCCTTTCTAACGTTTTTAGTCCATCTGACCTCAGTATTGATTTCTTCTCCTTCAACTACTTGGAGAAGGGTGATGTGCCAACAAATATCGTCAATCACGGTAGTATACCTACTGAAGAAGAAATGCCCTCCACGGCGCTAGTGAATGACCTAATCTGCCTTTAGCAAAGATTCCTGGAAGTACAATGGTGCTACTAGAGAAAAGAAGTCTCTTCCAGTTTCAAAAAATGATAATTATACCTGAGAAGAACACAATTTTAGTTGCTTATTCAAATCATGAGGCATATCGCTCACTCTTTCATAAGGTATCCACTTAACATGCACCATCAATCTAAAATAACATTAAGCAACAAAATAAAAACTGACGATATAAGATTAAGAGTTATAAATTGCAAAAGATAATAGAGATCTGATTACATAGATTCAAACCTTAAGAGATCTATTTTTCAGCAAACATTTCATATCAAACTTCTTGAGAGAATTTCGGCTGGAATACTCAAGTGCCTTTGACTGACCTTGCGCAAGGGGTATAGTGCTTGATAAATAATCTGTGTTGAAAAAATTTTGTGCCAATTTTGGTAGGTGTTCCAAAGCAAACATCTGCAAAGTAAACATTATCCTGTAACTGATATTTCAAAAGAATTCATATTTTAATGTCCCAACTTAGGATAAAACTTTCGTGATCTTAACAACTCGGTATACAGTCTTACATATAATTATTTTACATTTGGATGATGACCTCTAAAAATCAATATGTCCAATCATATTAGCCCATATTTAATTTTGGATAATAAGTCTCATTTTTGGTACAATCAAAGAAATGCTGCCTAAAATATCCGATCAGTACGTTAGGGAAATTAACATTTATTTTCACTTGCATCGTAAATTCTGAGCATGGTCTTAGACGTGGTCGCCAGAACTAAGTGATCTACCACAAGAATGAATGAAATATTTTGATATCGTGAAAGATATAAAGAATTACATTCATGTATTCATTTGTTAGTAAAGATATAAAGATAAGTAATGTACCAAAAAAATGAATGAAATATTGTGAGATCGTGAAGATATAAAGATATAAAGGATGATTATAATCCATGAATGTAATTAGTTAGTAAAGATGAAGAAGTCTATTTGTTTTTCCGTTAAAGGACGTACTAATTGATTTATTTTATGGTCATATTTTTACATTGAAAAAGCACACTTCCTTAAAATTTAATGATGTTAGTTGGGTCTTTATGTTAAAGGGTTGTTACGTAACTAACTACCATTGTCTTTGGCTTTTTGCCATCTTTTCAATTTCAGCAATTAGCAAAGTAGTATTTGTCAGGTAATTACAAACAGCTACCCTTAAGTAGTATTTGTAAGTAGTATTTATAAAATACCTCAAAAAATGTTGATTGTCGTTATGATTAATCTGAATGTTTTGAATTATTACAGTGTAAACTTGTTTTCAACTAGCATTTCACAAATCAGATTTTTAAGTTACTATGTACCGTTTTAACCCATCCATTCCATATTAAAGAATATTTTAGTTGTGATATAGGCTTCGGATTTTAGTTATATATTATTTATTTTTTTATTTTGCTCTGTTGTATTTATTATTTGGTGCCACAAGCAGCACTCATGCCATTTCAGTCTCACAAATGGAGGATTAAAGAAATTTTTCAGAAGTACTACTCAAAATAAGAAATAAAAATCCAAAACCACGAGTAAGGATTGTGTCTATGAATTGAATATAATGGAGAGATATAGTATTAAGCAATACAAATTACATTAAGAAAATATCAAATAAGCTTATCCACTCTCCATTAAGAAGGAAACAAAAAACTATCTGCTTGTGGATAAGATGTACTTCTTCTGTCCCAAAATTATCCATTTTTTATTTTCACTTTTGGCCTAACTTGTGCTAAAAATAAAAATCTAAACTGGTCAATAATTTTGAGACGGTGGGAGTATTATATAAGTTTCTACTCTCCCCAGCTACGAAGGTTGGATACCTTGGCGCCACCCTGCACCTTTCAATTAGGAACAGTAAGAAAAAGGAAAAAAAAAATGAAAATACAAAGTAGAGATGAAATTATGTAGACATATATACCCTCATTAACTAATTAACTCCTTTTGCTTTTGCCCTCCGATTTAAGATTCTCAAGTTCATCCATAATGGCTTTGTAGCAGAATTCATATTGTTCCTGGAATAATTTAGGGCACATATGAAATGTGTAACAGTGTAAGAGAACATAGGATACGTTAAATGTTAATGGCTTCGCTACAGGGAACTCATCCAAAATATTTGTCGTGAACGTTTATAGCTACAAATATATATTCATTAAGTTGGAAAATGCTGCAGTTTATAATTATTGCTAATTTTGTTTAGTTGAATATATTTATGATATGATGCGCTCGTTTTAATTATCAGGACAAGTGTCACTCAAATTACAAATAACATCACACAATTGTAACAATGATAGCTTGTGTTACATATATATATTCTATAATTTTATTAGAGACAGTAAGTACTGTTTCCTGATCCCCAAATAAAAGTCATATTTATTAGACAAAAATCATTTAAATAATTAAACAAAATTATTTTGAGACGGAATAAGTATACCATAAAATCAAGTTGAGGAGGGTACTATTGTATACCTTATTCTGGACCATTCCCATTCGTTGACATCTATAAAAAGTGACTGTGTCAAGAACTTTCAAAGCTGACTTGTCTCCAAGCAAAATCCTTTGAATGGTATTGTGGATAGTGCAATATGTCCCAGCTCTACCAATTCCAGCACTATCCAAAGCAAACATTTCGTAGAAATCATGTTTAGCCCGATACTTACTTACAAGAAAAATCAATGATATTGCTCTCGCCCATAATAATGGCCATGTCTAGACACTTAAAAATTATAGAAAATCGAGCAATTTACACATATTTTCGTATTTGATACCTGCAATGCACCACAACGGGTCCAATATCAGTTGGAACGTGGTACATTATCTTAAGGATCTCAAGAACAGGAAGGTTGTTTTCAGGGACTTCTTTGTCGGGCCAATCAAGGTATTGAATGTGTAAAACATCCAGAGGTGGTTCTTTAGACTGCAATTCAACGAGGTAACTCTTCTTATCCTTTGTTAACACATACACTACTATATGAATATATTCCTTAATGAAAAAAAACAATTTCATCATAAATTGGGAGAAGATATTTAAAGAAAATGAATAACATTCTAGTAATTAGGATGTTGTGTTTCTTAGGAATAGGATCAGGTTTAATTCCCACCAAAGACTTTGTTAGGGGCGTTTTACTAGCATTTTAGTAGAGTGCATTATGGTGGATTTTTTTAAAAGAAAAAAAAACTGAAATGCATCCAATTTCAATTATTTTTATTTTGTGACTCTCGTCATCTAACAGAACGGATTAGCTTATATGACATTTAAAAAATATTATCTCAAAAGTTGAACAATTGACAATGTTTCGGGAATAAAAAAAACTTACCTCTTTGTAGTTTACTTCAAAATATCGCCATGTTAATCCCGTCTCATTACTTGTCTTCCACTTGGTTTTGACAATTATGCTGCCAAATTCTTTGGACCACTCATCTACTGGGAAGTACTCAGAGCATAAGTCCCCCTATTATATTCATTTCTATGCTAAATGAGAAAAAAAAAATATAACTACTAATTTAACTATATATATGGGGTAGTATAATCAACAAAAATCTATTATGTCGTTGGCTAAATGTTTGATAGAATTTGTTTCACATTTCCAGAAAATACGAGTGATTAGTTATAAGAGATGTCAAATCAAGAGAGACTATTCAATGCATTTATTTATAACTCTCTCAGTCTCTTTTTAATAATCTTCAATTTATTGAAAAGGGAAAAAAGGAGTATAACCTAGGTAAGTTAGAAAAAGTCGATTTGGCAGAAAAGTATGAAGAAAATAATGAAGATATAACAGTAATTGTACAATAAAATGGTGGACTAATTTACCCCTTTGTCGTCCTTCAATTTAGTAAGCATAATGATCACTTTACAACGATATTGGAGAATCATTGCCCAAAAATCTTGAAATGTACACTCTTTTGGTCCTTGCGTCGCAATAAACTGAGATGTGCTCGCATGATTCATCTACAGAGAATATTGAAAGAAAGAAATATTAATCCCTACATGAGATATCCTCATTGATGTTAAAAAATTTTAAAAAAATATATAGAAATCCTAGTTGATATACATAATGATTTCTTAAACATTTTTTAACGGAATATCTTTTACTTCCCAATATATTTTTGAAAATTTTCAATACACATTTTTTACCTAAAAAATAAAAATAAAAACATTGCAAAAAGATTTCGAAAACAACCAGTTGGTAAATTTTTTACGAATTGTAGAAACCCTAGACCGACTCTCTTACTAAAATTTTTACAACCTAAAAAACGTTTTGAAGACCGCCAATTGGTGGAATTTTTTACGAGGTTGAAATGCTGGACCAAAGCTTTTACTTAACATTAATGAAAGGAAAATGTTAGAAGAATTATTGGTTCATTGTTTACAGCTATGCCATTTCGTGGTTGCCAAATTGTTTTTGTTAATCACATATCCTTACTTACATTCCCATTTTATAAAACAAAAATGGACTTGTATATATTTCTTGTCTATCATTACACTCATTGCATGTAGACCTTGAACTTTGGTTTAAAATTAAACCATTGCTTTGTAAAGAAAAAACTTTCTACATAGATATGGCACCGTTAATATTTCTACATACTCCTTCTGTTCTTAAAAAAAAATCATACATTTAGTTTTGTGAATTTTAATAAAAATAATACAAATTTTAAAGCTCAATGTGGACTATATATGCTTTGAAACAAGAATATTAATATTCTTAAACAAAGTATAAAAAGTCACGAATTATAAAACAAAAAATTAACAGACACGATAGTTATTTTGGGACCGATTGAGTTGAACACCTTCTTCCTTTTTTTTTTTTTTTTTTTTGGCTTATTGATTAGAGGAAGTCTACTTCATTGACATTTTGCCCTTAGTGTGGTAAGGAGGGCAAAATGTCCAATTTGATGCTCTTCATTTTTTTAATGAAAATAAAAATAGAAACCAAATTGTATAAAATTTTTGCTGATAGTCAACAAGGAAAAAGCTCATTTCTTTATCTTTATAAATTAATAGTGTTAGTTATTTCTCCAAAAGTATGAAAAAGATGGTATTAGTTGGGGTGTTTTTGGCTCATGCGATAAAGACGTCAAAATAACTACCATTGTCTTTTGCAATTAATAAGAAAAATAAAATACACCGTTCATCCCCAAAATTTGACAAAATTTATGTAGTCATTTTTAGTTCATTGCAAATTGCAAGCAGCTACCTAAAATTTTAAAAACTAGTGGTACCTTAATGAAGCTGGCGTTGATATATCCTGCTTCAGCTGGCCGATACCCTATCTTGGGGTCCAAGATAACCCGGTTAAAGTCGACTGACATGACAATATTAAAGCAGGGGAACATCATTTGGCAGATCATTGAATCAATTAAGAAGAGAATTGTAGTTAATTAATCAATTAATCTAGCAGCTTACTTGGGTAAAAATTTATTAAAATCAAACTTACAAGGTAGGACATTGGTATAACGGTTATTTGTTTCGTAATTCAAAGGATTAAACGCCACGGAGCATTTCTTATTCACGTCTGGAGATTTCAAAACTACGTCAACTCTCGAATGATTTTTCTGCAAAATAATAACAAAAAAAAAATTAAAAAATAGAAGATTAGCCATGCATATATTAGTACAGCTCGCTAACCACCCTTGGAATAATTTTTTTTCCCCATTGGAAAAAATATTAAAGATTAATAATTGGCACTATAAGTAAACATTCGTTGAATATCGGTTATTCTCTCTATCTCAGAAGAGTTCACTTTATACAACTATTTTAATTCAAGAAAATAGATTATTTTGGAACGGTAACTAACTTTTAACTTAATTACTCTAGTAGTTTAGCTAGCTTAAGACCATGCAAGCTATTTAGGGAATCGAATATATATACTACCTCTGGTCCTAATTATAATGCATAGGTTAACATTAAAAGCGGTTCAAGTTTGTACTTTATAATTAGGAGCGGGGACCGGAAGAAGTATAGAAGACTTGAAAAGTGTACCTCCAAGAAGTCGTCGAACTCGCTGTTTATTATGGACTTGATTGTTTCGGGATTCTTAAATTTGGCCTTGAAAAACTCTAGAGCTTCACTGCAGTAACGGAGTTGATCAGGAGAAAGAGCAGGCCGGTTCGGCACAAGGTCCCGCGAGAAGGGTAGAGTAGCCGGCGGAGGTGATGAAGTAGCATAACCGGCCGTGGCCCGGTTTGGGCCCACAGAGGTACTGGATGTTGTTACTCGAGCCGCGACGCTGACGGCCGGTGCCCCGGTTGCTGTGCTACCGGATATCATTTTCGGTGATCTGATCTGTAGATGTTTTGAAAGAACTAAGACTTATGTATATATTTGGGCAGACAGTTCGTCTTTATTTATAATACTGAAGGAATTGATCGAGCAATATTTAGTCTAATTAATTTTACTCCTTATACGCGTTTGATCAACTTTGGGTGATTTACAAGTGATGATCAATGAACTACTATCATTTATCAATCATTTCTTTTCGGTCTTAACTGCCATTTCTGTCCATTACGAGCGACTTTCCTTGCGTTGTTTATTCAGCAACAAGGATTTCTTTATTCAGCGACTTTCCTTGAGTATGATTTGTTAATGTCGTTTCTTGTTAATTAATTAGTTTTATTTCTAATAATAGCGTTATAATGGTTGTTAATATTAGTCCTTATATGGAATTTATATGATGAAAGTGGCCTTCTAACAACCGTTGGCATTCATTGTGTGGCCGGCGTACATTATAAATAAATATAGTTAAAGTTAACTATTTGCTTGTAAGAAATAAGAATTATTGTCGATCCTATGCATCTCGCATATACATCCAGAAAAATGGAACATGACATATGTTCATTAAGTGATAGTTAACCTTGTTTTTTTGTTTCGTGGGGTACAGAAGAGGAAAAAGGGTGTGCAACTTGAATTTTTTCTTCTTTTTTCTTTCCCCCTTAATGTGCAAAGAAATTATAATAGCAATATCTCTTTTTAAACCCGTGTCGAGAGCTACTACTCTGACTCATCTGAAATGTAAAAGAGTAAGAGAATCTTTATCGGAAAGTTTCTCAAACAAATATTTTAATTACCACCATCAACCCAAAAAGCAACCCAGGCAGCTCATAATTAAAATCACCTTTTTTATATTGATCATAATTCATCTATACTTGTTTCACTAATCGAAAAGGTCATCATTTGCCCATACAGTAATAGTTCTACTTGTTTTTACATAAACAGGAAAAAGATGGTACCACAAGTTAACAAGCATTGGCATGTCTTTTTGCTGTTTTAAGCACAACAGATTCTTTGCCAGCCACGGACTCATCCGTGGATTAAATCAAACTTGGGATGTGATGTAAAGTGCAAACAGAACAGATGAGGCAGGTCGTTTGTTTAATGATAGCTATGTATTCGATCATTTACCAATTAGAGTTCACTTATTATTTGATTAGTGTGTTATTACTGATTAAATTAATAAGTGTAAACAATTTAATTACAAGAAATTAATATAGCACAAAATGATCTCACTCTATTCCAACATGATTTTGGAATTGAAGGAGTACCACTAAAGTTTCGGGAATATTTTTAGAAATATAATCTACATTAAATCTTGTGATTTATGCCATTTTTATACAAAAATCATTAGATTCAATGTGAACATTTTTTTTTTTTTTTTGAGGAAGGAGCTACTACGGAATGGGCTTCTAGAGGTCTAGCTTCACCATGGGTTTGGGCGAGTATCATTAATGGGGCTAAATCTTAGGATTTTATTCTGGGTTGAAAGTACATATTGAGAGTCTCCTCATATAGAGTCCAATGGTTGGTCACCAACCAATACGCGTCTTTTTCATCAAATATATTTTGAATACGTAGTAATGCATAGAAGCCAAATATGTTTCAATCGGTACAGTCATCCAGACCGGATTACTAATCTAAGTCAAAGATGCCAGAGTAATAATGAAAGTATAAAACAAACTTTTTAGGGTACTATTTAATTGAGAAATATATTCATATCTTAAATTTTAGAGATTGGTTTTTAGATGGTTTTGTATCACACAAAATTGGCTGGTCCTTATTATTTTAGTTTAGTTTACTTTTCAGTTCAGTTCAGTTCGAGTAACACAAACCATACATGGCCATCTCCACAAAACATGGAAGCAAGAAGGACTCATCAGATGCCACAACTCCTCTCCTTGATGATAGTAGCACTGAAGATGAACTAATCCGTGATTATGTTAATTACACAGGCCAACCTTGCAAGCGATCCGAATCGGGAGGATGGCAATCAGCAGCCTTCATTTCAGGTATATTAATCCATAAAATTCATATAGTGGAACTTCTCTAGCTCAGCAGCACAAAAACACAAGTATAGTACTCCTCGGTGCCAAAATGTTACGACGTACTATATGGTTTTAGTTCAACAAACATGATACTTATTTTGGGACGAAGGGAGGAAAAAGTTCATTTATCAAAGCTATTTTGAATTGTATAGGTGCTGGAGGACTGGAGAGGTTTGCATTTCGAGGTATGGAATGCAATCTGATAAATTTTCTCACTGGACCTCTTGGAGAATCCGTGGCGGTTGCATCTGCAAATGTAAATATTTGGATGGCTTTAGGATCCATCATGCCTGTTGTAAATGGAATTCTTGCTGATTCAGTTCTTGGCCTGTACAGAACCAACATCATTACTTCAATCATTTACATCTTGGTCAGTTTTTCTAGTTCTTTGTCCTACTTTCAATTCCAATTTGCAACCTTTCAAATCGCAACTTGTGGATAATTAGCTGGATTTTTGTTGTACTTCTAATTTATTAATACTCCTGCTCTCCTAAATGATTGTTCAAGTTTGAATATTCATTTTTATTACTCCCTTTTTCAGGAAAAATAAAAAGAGTATATTGCAATTTACAACTTTTACTATTCTTCATACAATTTACAAGATGTGATGTAGAATTTTTTTTTCTCGAGACAATAGAGAATAATTTTTCACTAAATAGAAAGTGGATAATCAGATGGATGGAGTATTTGTTTGTAATATAAGCTAGTCTTTTTAGTCTCTCACATGTACCATTTCATAATCCTTTCGTTTCAAAATAAGAGTATTATTTGTTGAATAGACAATATTACAATCATAAATCACAAACAATTCCTTTTCCATATGCAAAATTTTGGTTAGGGACTAGGCCTCTCAACAATATCAGTGGTAATAATTCCATCTAACGATGAACCCACCACAAACAACGCAGCGGTCCCAACAATACTTCAAGTTTTGTTTTTCTTCTCAATTTATTTGGTGGCATTAGCGCAAGGATTTCAGTCCTCAAGTCAAGTGTTTGGAGCCGATCAATTTGATAGAAACCATCCACAAGAAAGCAAAGCCATCAGCTCATTTTTTAATTGGTGGCTTTTTGGCTTGTCTGTTGGTGTTGTCTTGGCAATTCTGATGATTCCATATATTGAAGAAAACATTAGTTGGGGAATGGGTTTCGGAACCGTTTTGTTGGCTATGGTAATTGGATTCATTTTACTTGTGTTGGGTTATAGGACATACCGCTTTGCTCTTGTCCACCGTGACCAGAAAAGCCCTATTGATGATGCCATTTATTCAACCTCACAAGAACTGGATCAAGAGTCTTTGAGGTCCCTTCCAGAAGGGAAGTTCCAAAATCACAAGTAAGGACTACTTATATTTATTTTCAACACATGAGGTTTTATGGAACCATACATTTTTGAGGTTGTTTGTTACATTTTAAATGCAAAAATGATTGAGACAAAATAAGTATTTGATTTCGGTATTTCCATAATAGGAGTAATATAAGTCAGTCAAAATATCTTCTGTAATACTTGTGTTACACTCGTGTGAAACTAGTTAAATTATCAACAAATGCATAGTAATTACTACTAACGTGCTAACTAAATGGTAAATAAACTAATTTTAATAAAATGTCAATCATTTAAATAGGATTTTATTTTTCTAATTTGATGCAAATGAATTTTATTTTTTTTTCTAATAACGCTATATACGTTTTTCTTCACTAGGAAAAATTTGGAGACAAAGAAGGCTTTAGGGTTGCTCCCCATTTGGTGTACCACAGTGATGTATACCTTAGCATGGGCTCAAGCTCCTACATTATTCACCAAGCAAGCAAACACAGTGGACAGATCAATAGGCCAATCATTCGAAATACCATCAGCCTCACTTCGGATTTTCATCCCATTGACAACAATGTGCTTCACTCCCATCTATGACCGTGTTTTTGTCGCGATTGGGAGGAAGATTACAGGAAATCCCACTGGAATCACAGAGTTCCAGAGAATAAAAATGGGTATGACAATATCCATCGTTGACATGGTTGTGGCAGCTCTGATCGAAAAGAAAAGACTAGAAATCGCTCGCGATCACAGTCTAGTGGACATCCCGAATGCAATGGTGCCTATGAGTTTTTGGTGGCTGGTACCACAAAATGTGTTGTGCTCATTTGCATATGTTTTCACCTTTGTTGGGATGCAGAAATTTTTCTATGATCAAGTTCCTGATGAATTGAGAAGCATAGGCCTATCCCTTTCTTTTGGTGCACTTGGGGCAGGGAATTTCTTGAGTAGTTTTCTGATTTATGGACTTGATAGAGCTACAAGTGTGGGTGGGAGGTACAGTTGGTTTTGTGATAATTTGAGTAGAGCCCATCTTGATTACTTCTATTGGGTTGTGGCTGGACTAGGATTTCTTGGGTTAGTTGGCTTTGCGTTACTTGAGAAATCTTTCTCTAAGGAAAATGTTGCTAAAAAGAATACACCTCAACCAGATAGCATTTGATTGACCACTTTCTGCTACGTCATCCTTGAATCCTTTACTAGAATTTGTGTAATTCGGCTGAAAAGACAGCTTGTATATTTTAATTTATCGGAACACCTTGTAGTATTATTTTCGTATTCATCAAAATGTGAAACGGTGGGTTTGATATATATTAAAGGTAAATTCAAAAGTTAAAGAAATATTGAAGAAACATATCTAGAAGTTTCAAACTTCCATGAATTTGAGAATTGCAAGGCAAGGAGGAAAAAAGCACTACAATAATCTCCTCACATAAATTTAAATGATTATACTCTCTCTGTTTCAAAAAAAAAAATTAAATATCAAAATTCGATATAAATTAATTTTTTATTTTGGAGACAGAGCGAGTAAGAAGACACAATAGAAATTAAGAGTGAGAAAAAAGTCCCACCATTTCTGGGCGAGGCTTGCACTTTGCAAGAAGTGGTGTACCTCTGGGAATATTGAGCCCTGGACCTTCACTTAAGTCCAGCAACTCTTCGGAAATTCTGGTCCATTCAAAGCACTGAACAAGCAAGCCCAGAGTCAGCCCAATAACTCGTCTAGCAGATGGCTCACCCGGGCATCCCCTTCTCCCATAGCTAAATGGCAAGAAATTGAACCCAAAACCTTCTTTGTCATCAACATTTAAGAACCTTTCGGGCTTAAATTTTGTTGGCTCTTCCCAGAATTTGGGATCGTTTTGCATGGCTCGAACATTCACGAATAGTATCGTGCCACGTGGGATGTGGTAGCCTCCGACCGTGCAATCCTTAGATGCTTCGTGGTGGCCGATGAGTGCCGCTGCCGGATACATACGAAGTGTTTCGGAGATGATCGCTTGAATGTAAGGGAGATGGTTGAGGTCAGAGTCATCAATCAGCCTATTTGATTTGCCAATTCGGTTTTGAATCTCTTCATGGGCTTTTCTAAGTGTAGATGCACGATTAAGCATAAGCGAAAGAGCCCATTCCATTGTTATAGCTGTTGTTTCAGTTCCACCAATCAACATTACCTGCAACATATTTTCAGCTCAAAGTAGTTATATTAGTATCAGACTTGCTTGGACATTTCTTTTTGTTTCTAACCCGAATGGCATAAAGCTCGAAATCATCATCTATCTAGTACTTTTATTTATTTGACTTAAAAAATAAATTCTAAGCACACAAATGTTGTCCTATAATTATAAGTTTTAAAAAAATAATTAATTGGGAATATCATTTGTCAGGACATAGGCATGAAGCTCAATGATATCAAGCCAGGTAAAATTTTTAAAATTTTTCTTCCTTATCAAAACTAAAACTTATCTTTTTTTTTTTTAAACGCCGGGAACCCCATTAGAGATGGGTAAACCCACGCCCACTGCAATAGCCTGCAAACTACTGTGGGAGGTAAACTACCCAAGACAAGCCGGGGGTGACAAACTCGGATGCGAAATTAAGAGTTCATTAGTGGATTAGTCATAACAAGCCCCTAGAGGTGTTAATAGGCAAAGTAAGAGCCAACCCCTAACTTTTCTGTTGAAAGTAGGGGATTGAACTCATGACCTACTCTTCGAGCAATGTGGTTTTACCACCGAACCAAGTCCTCATTCGCACTTATCTTAAATGTTACTTTCTTAAATTATTTATATCATTACTTTCATTAATACTAAACGCAAAAAAAAAAAAAAATAATTATCAACGACCTAGCATGATATTTTTGGGCATGACAAGGCTTTCATTAGGACAGATCTGACAAATCGTTTTCTCTAATTAATTAGTACTACCATACAAATGTCAATTAATCATACAAAACAAAACTTATTCAAAGTTGTGTTTTCATGTAGACTTACCAGGATCATTCCTTTGATGATTTCATCTTTATAAAACTCCGGTTCCTTCTGTTGAAGAGACAAAAGAACATCAATCATGCACTTATCATCTTCTTCATCACAACCATCACTCCCAAATTTGCTGATGATTTTCCTTCTCTCGTCAATTAGGCTTTGCACAAATCCGTCCCTTTCTCCCTTCAACCGTTCCAGTGTCCTCAACAGTTTTCCGCGCCCTCCGGTCCATTTCGACAACGGAACATAATCCGGTACGTTGGTGGACACATTCACCAAACTCGAACCTTTGACTATCTCCCTAAACTTCCTAGCTTCCTCTTCCATCTCAGCTCGATCCCTGTATTCGCGCTTCCCGGATATTATTCTGATCAGGATACTCAGCATCATCTCGAAGAAGACCGATGTTAGGTCAACTCTCCCTTTTTCGTCGCCTTGGGCCGCCTTCGCGAGGCGTCGCATCATCGAATGGACTTCTTCTTTCCGTAGATTTCCATACGCTTGGATGCGTTGACTCGATAAGATTTCCACTGTGATTAATTTTCTCAAGTTGCGCCAAAGTTCGCCGTAGGGAGCCCATATAAGCGTGGTGTAATCGTAAGCCAAGTACTTTCCGGCTAGAAATCTAGGCCGGTTCGCGAAAATGATATCATTCTTTGTTAAGCATTCCTCCGCCACAGAGGGAGAAGATACTAGGAGGATAGGGTGAGAACCGAAATATAGGAGAAGAATTGAACCATACTTTTGTGCAAGATGAGCAAAAACACTTGGTTTTTTTAAGTAATGAAGATGGCCATATATTGGTAAAGACAACGGAGGACTTGGTGGGAGATTTCGAATTTTTCTAGCAACTCGATCAGTGAGTGAATACAAGAAAAGTATGGAGATTAACAGGAGGAGATAGTAGGAAAATGCTTCCATTGAGATTAGCAATTATGAGATGGATCGATCTCCCTACTTTGTTGTTATAAATTGGAAAGAGAGGGGATGGCTGTTAATTAATTGAAAACTGAAAAGCTTAACCAATACTGATATGAAAATGCAAATTCCTAACAATTTGAGATACTATAATCTGCAATAAAGAGATCTCGTCATATTCCAATCCCGATTTGATCAAGATGACCCAACATAATTCACATTTAATAGTAAATCCAGTTCCAAAACTTAGTTCGAGTCAATTCCTTGATATTTGTTCACACTCATGTGTGATAGCTTAGTAACTTAGGCCTTTCGACCTCCTTCCTTATATAAAAAAAAATTAATTTAACCAAATTTTAAAATCACTAATTTAATTATTGATTCCATTTTAACAACTAAAGAAACGACACGCATATAGTTGTGACTTAATATGAAATAATCCAATCACTCTTCGGTCCTTATAATATAAATAAATACTCCCTCCGTCTCATAATTATTGTCCACTTTGCCCAAAAAATTTTGTCCCAAAATTATTGTTCAATTTGACTTTTTATGGATCAAATTACACATTTGTCCTTAGTAAAAAATATTATCTATAAAATCTTTGTGGTTAAACAATTACTTATGTAGGGGTATATCCGGTTATTCAAGGTAAAATATAGTTAAGTTTGACTAAAAATAAAATCTTTCATTTTAGTAAAACTGGACAATAATTATGGGACGGAGGGAGTAACTAATTTGTAAAAATTAAGAAAAGTTATTAAGTTAATTTTTTTTTGGTGAATTGCCTATATTAAAAATGTCCACTCTCTTTTGGAAGTGTATTGCTGCCTTAAGGTATGGCACATGAGTCATGAGTGATGACTGAAGACTCAGATGGGGTTTCCTAGGATATTGCAGCCTCGCTTTAGGACCAAAATAATAATACTATAATTCTAATAAAATGGTGAATTATTGCAGCCTCGCTTTCGGACCAAAATGGTGAATTATTTGTTCCTAAATTATTTGACTGATGACTCAGATGAGCTTCCTGTATTTATATATTATATATAAATTATTTGTTTGTTTACAATTTCACTCTTTTTCTCATCTCTTCTAGTAGGTCCCTTTATAGTGATGTTTTCTTTTCTTTTATTTATTTATTATTATTTTTTTTGGTACAACCTTTATAGTGATGTTTAACTTAACTCTCTTTGCTTTAGTGACGTTTCACTAACTCGTTGACCTATTGGCAATATACAAGACAAGGAAACAAGATTGCAGAGGTAAACTTTTTTTTTTTTTCCCTTTCAAGAAGAATCTTTTACCTTAAGATTCACGCCAAAAAAATAAAAAATAAAAAGTTAATTTTCATATTTTATTGATCTTTGCATACTAAGACTTCGCATTCTCCCTCTCTGTTAAAACGAAACATTACAGTAAAGTAGATTATTTTTCTGAAATAAATAAAATACATGTCAATTAAGTTTCTTATCTTAAATAAATGAAAGAGGAATTACCAACGTAAATTACAGGGAGATAATTTCTAAAACTTTCCATGATCATCGGGATTAAGACTTAAGTGCAATTTTATCGAGGTTAATATTTTCCAAGAACTCATCACTGTTGGTCCAACAGTTACAGACGTGAGAAAGTTCGTTCTACATATGTTCTTACTGCATTTCTCTAGCCCAGGAAAATATACTTACGACCGAAAAGGAAAAAAATTTGTTAAAAGAAGGCATGAAAATTCGACATTACCATGAGATGCAATCACATTTAATTTCTTGACAAAAGAAAAAAAATAGACCATCTCTACTGTGTTCTCAAGGACAGAAAGTAAATCAAATACTCTGTCGCCAAATTGCCCTTCCTTTATGTATGTCTCAGTTTCGTCTTTCACTATTCACTCTCCACAGAGAATCGAGTCCAGTATAGAAGCTAAAGTAACAATTGTCTGACATAACTTGTCACAGAGGATAAAACACAAAAAATGGTACTCCCTCCGTCCCATAATTATTGTCCACTTTGTCCAAAAACTTTTGTCCCAAAATTATTGTCCAATTTGACTTTTTATGGATCAAGTTACAAATTTGTCATTAGTAAAAAATATTATCTATAAAATCTTAGTGGTTAAAAAATATTAACTATATTAAGGTAAAATATAGTTAAGTTTAACAAAAAAAAATCTTTTATTTTAGTAAAATTAAATAATAATTATGGGACGGAGGGAGTACTAAATAAACAACGAGGATCCTTGCTTAGGTTTTCCGGCCCAACCAATTTGTAGAGCATCTTTCTTCTTTTACATTTCGTATTAAATAATAAATAAATAAACTTGTCATTGTCTTTTAATTTGATATGTAATTTCTTTTTTCTTCCGGCAAAAACGTCCAATAATACACAAAAAAATTTGTCATGCTCACAGGCCACAGCAATAATTACACTCAACAAGTCTTGAATAGCAGGCTTAGTTCAAAATTTGAGATACTTTTGTAGGCAATTTATTGTTGGAAATGAGTAATAGTGAATGAGAATTAAGTTTCTCAAGAGTTGGAAAAATTAGAGTTAAGGCTAAGGGACTTTGTCCCATATGGGTGTTGGGAAGAGTTGGAGCTCACTTTATAAGTGAGAGCCTAAAATTGATTTGCAAGTTGACTTGCCAATACTACACCACATCTCTCCTGCATGTGCGCCCGCGCAGAGGGGGTGCAAATGGAGGTCCATTCGGGGCAAAGAATAGCCTGACTCATGTTTGCGCACGACCTGCGGACACGAATGCCGAACCAAACTCTCGCGGATGGAGAAGAGGATATGTAACGTTTACATTAATTCGATGGAATAAAGTTAGACATTTAATAGCCAAATAAATTGCTGGCTTTAATTCTTTTGAATGAAAAAAGGTTTTCAGATTCATTTGAATTTAAAAGGCCAGAATTGTTTGACTATTTCAGTCTTGAATGAGAAGAATAAGGTGGTCTGAATGCATGAAATGTCGGAACGTTTTCCAGGCCATAAATCTGCGAATTGAAGTGCACTTTAATGGTAAATAAAACCGTTTGAAGTCTTCAGCAGCTCAAGGTTCTTCTCCAGCCTATAAATAGGCACTCATTTTCCAAAGTTTTACACACCTTTCCTCCCATCTCTTCTCAGCTTTCTTTCGAGCCTTCTTTCATTTCTTTTCCCGGTGTTCATCACTTGTTCTAAGTTTCAGTTCAATTATAGAGTTGCTTTGTGCTAAGCAGGCTCTACGTTTTCATTGTATCCTGGGAAACAGTTGCTCGAGATCCTCAAGCACCTTAGGAGGGGGCAAATCTGTTTTAAGGAGATCGTGTTTTCACGAGCCTCGGATTTTTCCTATTTGAATTTTCCTTAGCCTTTGCGAATACTCTTCGTATTTTTCCAACAATCTTAAAATAGACTTTTTTTTTTTTATTTTGTGTATTCGTGATGGCTGATGTTGTTAGTGTTGATGCTGTTGGTGCTGCTGTTGCTAGCGCCACTCCCGCTGCTGTTGTACCCGGTGTTGCCATTGCTCCCGGGGTTGCGAGCTCTGCTGTTGTTCCTGTTGTGCCCAACGTTCCAGCTAGCGACGTGGAGAAGCCGGAAAAGTTCAATGGGACGACTGTGACTTTCAAGAGGTGGCAACAAAAGATGCTATTCTACCTGACGACGCTGAACTTGGCGAGTTTTCTGACGGGTGTTGCTCCTCCGTTGCCTGAAGGTACTTCGGACGCACCAACGTTCCATGCCTATGAGGATTGGAAATGGTAAGATTTTCTTTGCCGTGGTTATATTTTGAATGCTATTCATGATTCATTATATAATGTGTATGAAAAGTGTAAAACGGTTAAGGATTTATGGGAATTCATGGACCGGAAACATAAATCGGAGGATTCCGGCTCGAAAAATTTGTAGTCGGACGGTTCCTTGATTATGTGATGGTTGATTCCAAGATTGTTGATAGTCAAGTGCAAGAGATCCAGTTGATTCTGCACGACATCCAAGCTGAGGGGATGATCTTCAGTGAAACCTTCCAAGTGGCTGCGGTCATTGAAAAGTTGCCTCCGGGCTGGAGGGATTTCAAGAACTACCTCAAGCACAAGCGCAAGGAGATGTCCTTAGAGGATCTGATTGTTCGACTTCGCA